AAGAGCCCTAAGCGCTTTAACCTTTCCTCATAGGGATAGTGTTCCAACCCTTTTATCATTCTAGTTGCCCTTTTCTGCACTTTTTCCAAAGATATAATATCCTTTTTAAGGTGTGGTGACCAGAACTGCACAGAGTATTCCAAATGAGGTAGTACCATTGATTTATATAGGGGCATTATGATATTGGCTGATCTGTTTTCAATACCCTTCCTAATAATCCTCAGCATAGCATTGGCCTTTTTTATTGCAGTCACACACTGTCTCGACATTTTCAGTGAGTTATCAACTATAACTCCAAGATCTCTCTCTTGTTCAGTCTCTGCCAGTTCAGACCCCATCAATGTGTATTTATATTTAGGATTTTTAGCTCCAATGTGCATCACTTTGCACTTGACCACATCAAACCCCATTTGCCGTGTTGACGCCCACTTGCCCATCCTTGACAGATCCCTTTGGAGTGCCTCACAATCCTCACTGGCTTTCACCACCCTGAACAACTTCATATCATCTGCAAATTTATCCACTTCACTGCTTACTCCCAACTCCAAACCATTAAACTCCAAATCCTTAAATTAGATTAAACCTTAATTTTTTGAAGTAATGTTTACTCTGAGATCAATTCCCCCCCCCCACATCAATATGTTTTGATTTTTTCTTCAAGTGAGGTCTAGATTTTTTTTTCCTTAGAAGAAAGCAAATTCATGTAAAATGTGGCTGGCCATATCAAAAATGTTTGGACTCTGATGCACACCTAATGCATGCTGACAGAAAAGCAAGTTGGTATAGTAGCTAAGAATACCTTTTATAATCTGCACATGGTTTGCCGACTCTCACCCTTCTTGAATTTAGCTGATTGGACCATGCTGATCCATGTTGTTGTTTTTTTATAATCTCAAGGCTGGATTATTGCAATGTACTCCATTTTGAATTTCTCTTAATACTAACTCACAAATTTCAGCTGGTTGAGAATACAACAGTCCAATTATTGTCAAGGGCGAGTTGGTGGAACCATATCTTAACTAGCTTATAAACAACTACATTGGCTGTCATGTGGTTTTTCTGTTCAATTCAAGGTGTTGATTATGGCCTTTATATCACTTCATATCCGAGGACCCACACATCTAAAGGACCATTTCCTCCCATATATCCCCATGTGGAACTACAGTCCTCAGACTGTAATGTACTGGCTGTTCCCCCATAGAAGTTATTAACCAGAGCCCGTGTCTTCTCCATCACAGCTCCCACTTTGTAGAATGAGCTTCCTGGTGAGGGAGATGTAATCAAGGAATTTTTCTTTTCTTGGGTTTTTAATGTATAACTTGAAGGTATGTTTTGGGGAAAGGGAACATTTGGTATTTTATTTTGTGTTACATTATGATGCTTATACTTATGGTCTGTAGGCAACTTTGGACCATAAGGAAAGATGGAATATATTGTGAAATAAATAAATAAATAACTGATTTAGAACATGCCAAGTATCCAATAGAATTGGATACTTGGCTGCAAGGAAAATACGGGCCAACGCTGCTTCTAACCAATACTGATTTTAGTGGGTATGTTGTGAATTAATTAACTGTTCATAACCTCGATTTTATGGATTTATAATGTTGGACTGTATCTTATTTTATACAATTTTAAAGTTTTATTGTGTTCTTCTCTGTCTGTGGTTTGTAATGGCCCATGGCTAAATACAATAAAATCTTCTTCTTCTTCTTAAATAGCCTACATCATCAAATGATAAAATGGACTCTCTTTTTATGTAATTCTGAAGAAAAAAGGGAGAAATAAGGACAAAATTTATGGTGATCCTTCAAATATGAGGTATTACAAAATAGGAGAGAGAAACAAAATGATGCCTCAGATTACTATCAAGTCATATCAGTGAGGTACAAATTCAGACCATTAAGAAAACGTCATAGGTAGGAAAACACCATTCACTCCAATCATGCAGAGTGATGTCTAGCAGATCATCACTGGCCTATGTTGCAACAGGAAAACCATCAACTGTTACTGAGAGACTGTCTTTGTCAAGAGCCATGGCTTCCAAGACTCCCTAAGATTCCAGGGTCCTATGTGTCCATAGGTACAAAAACACTCTGCATGATATCACACCAGTGAATCATAATCAGGCATACCTGCCATTAAGGGCATTTCCTGATGAGACAATTAATCTCTCACAAGAAAGCTGTCATGCAGCCTGATCAAGACTTTGCTGTGTGACTGTCTGCGATTATCACAAACCCAGGCCAAAATAAATGACTGGGGTTTGCAGGATAATAATCTTAGGCTGAGTTCAGACTGGCAGTTTGAAGCGGGAGGGAGTCATGGCCAAAAAGACCTGGAACAAACTGTTCCGGGTTTTCCCATTCACACTGCAGCAACTGATGCAGGAACATACTGGGAGGAGGCACAAGGGAGCGTTCCCACTGTTGGCCCGAAGGCATGGCTGTAAGGCATGGCTTTCTTTTTTGTAATCTGGAGATATGCGCTTATGTGCATGAGTGCTTATGCACATAAGTCCATAAGAAAAAACATGGCTTTTGGCGTTCACACTTTGTTGGCGCAGGATGGAATGGGATAACCATGCTTTCCAGGGTTTGATACCACTTTCACCAGGTATCTTTAAAACTCGGGAGTGAAGCATTACAAGATGGGTTGAGTACCGGTGGGGAACGCCTGACAGATGTGCCTGTGTGAACAGCCTATTTAATCTGGTTGTGGAACGTTTCTGAAACGCAAAAATATTGGTCTGAACTCGGCCTTAGATTCCATTCCACTGAAGAGCATCTCTTACAACACAGACCTTGTGAGGCAAAAGACCCTAATTTCGCCAAGGGTTAACATGAATAACAGTGGGTCTGTTCCAGCTTGCAGGTGTTTGAAATTAGCCTATCTGTATCTCTTTCATGGCCTGACATCACAATGTGGTCATTGTCTAAGTGAAAAAAGTCTGCATTCAGTTCAGAAACTAGATGGGGGAGGGGAGTCAGGACTCAGGAGCAAATTGCATCACATCTAGGATTCTGAAGACCACCTGGTGTCAGAGAGCAGGAAACTATAATTGGGTCTTAGATAAGGGTGACACTATGCTAACTTTTGATCCCATGGGACAGAGGCATAAGCTTCTAGCCTGGACTCTGCAGTTTTTAATGGTTCACCAGTTATTGTCAGGTACTAAAGTGATCAAGCTTCAGAGGACAGCGGAAAACAGGAGGGCCTGGCATGATCTGGTCCATGGGGTCACGAAGAGTCACACTCGACTGTGTGACTGAACAACAACAACAACAAAGTATCAGAAAGAAAAGTTAGCTTTTATTGTGTTTACTTGCTATTTGATTCTAGAGACTGTGTTAAGTAGTAGTAGTCTTAATTTTGTTTGTTCAGTAAACCTGTGTGTATTTTTAAAACAGTTTTAGTCTTCTTGTGTGCATTTGACCTCTGGGACCTATGAATTTGAGCACTGCTTGCTGGTCTGTGAGGCAGTGGCTCAGAGAGACCCAGGTTTGGGTTTCTTGACAGACCTGCACAGACCTAATCAAGCCATTCATCTGCAGAATAACTTCATCTCAACTGTTTCCTTCTTTAGTTCTCATGCTGTGATGTATAGGTAAGGTGTTTAATAAAAAACCAACAAGCAATCTTTGATTAAATGGAGACTGTAAAAAAAGAGAGATCCGCACAGAGTTTATCAAGCCATTCATCTACAAAATAACTTCATTTCCTCCCCCTCCAGCATTTCACACAATATACCATCAGCACCCTGGGTTTTATTTCCTAACCACTGTCAATAAAGGAACCATTGTTTTATACAGAATTGGCATGTTATATCCAGTAGCGATGCCAGCCTCCAGGTAAGAATTGGGGATCTCCTGGAATTACAGCTCATCTCCAGACTACAGAGATCAGTTCCCTTGGGGAAAATGGATGCTTTGGGGGGTAGAGTCTATGGCATTGCACCCTGCTGAGGTCCCTGACTTCCACAGAATCTGTCCCAAATCTCCAGGAGTTCCCCAAACTAGATCTGGCACCCCTACAACCCACAGGCTATCTCTACCCCAGTACAACAGAAGACGACTCAATTCTGCCTGGACAGCAACACTTAAAACCCCAGATGAAAAATAAGAAAGTATTTATTAAAAGAGGAGCACATGGCATTTGTGGATGAGGAGGAGATTAGAGAAGGACTTGTGAGAAAAATGGTGGAGAAACAATTCCATATACATTTTGGGACTTGATATTGCACCTGAGTTGGCATACTGTAATGGTTAGAGCATTTGATTAGGATCAAAGACATTTGGGTTCTAATTCCCACTCTGCCATTTAAGCTCACTGTGTGACTTTGGGCCTATCACAATCTCTCAGCCTAATCTAATTTACAATGCTGTTGTTGTTTGTATAGAGCTCAGGAGGAGAAAACAGAGTGATCAGCTAATTTGAATCTTAATTAGGGAGAAAAATTGCATATAAATAAATACATAAATAATCAAACATAACTATTACCTGCCATGTCTGTGAATCCTGAAGACTCAGTCTCCCAGTATCAATCCTTGATCTGAGTTTGTGTTGGCATGACTGCATGGCATGTAAAGCATGTGCCACAGCATAGACAGCATTGTAGATGTTGTAGCTATGGCCAAGCATGCTCGTTTCAAAAAAAGGCCTGGGAAGACTCTCCAGCTTTTCTGATCCAGTGCATATTTTCTCAGTTTCCATGGTAGCAAATGTTGTTGAATAGACACATTCAAATACTTTCCCCCAAAATTCCCTAACAAACCCATCTTCTTTTACCCTGAAATGGTTTCTGGTCTGGAGAAAATTTTGGAACCCTAATAATTCTTTGGAATGAATGGTGAAGGAGAGAGCACCGTGGATGGTCTGTATATCCCAACTCCTTTGATAAAGCAGTGATGTGCACTCCATTTGAATGATCAAAATCCACACTTTACCTTTAGGCTCAATTGTCACACTTTCCATTTCTGGAAGATATAACAACCATCTAAAGCGTGTCATCTCTACATCGTAGACAACCACTGCGGTGGCATTGCTTTTCATGCAAACTTTATATATTGCCACTAACGAATCAACGAAATCATTAAAGTCATAAATTACCTTCAGTCTTTCTAAAAAGTCAAAACAGATGCCACTGAGAGGAAGAAGCGTAAGTACTGTCTGCAGAAACCTTTGTCCACTGTCAGCATCTGAAACAAGGAACCCAACCCATGCCCACCTGAAATACAGAAGTAGCTGGAGTATTCCTGTATACCTGTAGGCTTCATTTGGCACCATCTGGTAGAAGGAACTGCTTTCAGCTTTAGCAGGTATACTTGGAGTTTCCCCATATATAAACTATGGAGAGATAAAGACTTTGAGTGAGAGGAGCAGAGAGAGGACTAAAAATACATGTTGAAAATGCAGCGTGTCTACTGATTCTCTTCTTGGATTGTTAACATTGTTCCTGAGCAGCAACTGAGGTTTAAATTCTTTTTTCAGTTAGCATCATTCATGAGTATTTACAAACCAGATCGATTCAGTTGCTTTAATAAATAAAAAAAATTAAAAGGCACAGATATGGGGACCTGGTTTCAGTTCCTTTAAAAATAGCTTTGCCCATGTTATGAAGGTTCATTTTTCTCTGGTGAATCCCTGTCTCTGTAGGTAAGAATTATGTAACACTATATACACTCACACTCACATGCACACACACAATGGCCTGGTATAACAATGGCAGCCTCTGGCATGATCCCAATTTCACATGTGTTTTTAATTTTAAAACCCTACCACCAATTTTCCCATTTCCATGTGATTTTCAGAAGCAGAGCAAGGGACTACCTCTGTCGTACCAGTTCCCACTCACACATTTCTGTCAGACTGACATACAGTCAAGAGACTGTTTTAACTCCTCTCATTTGAAGGATCACTTCTCTGTTGTTGTGGTTTAATGTGGGAAATTATTTTAAAATGCTTACACTGCCGGCATCTTTGCCTACAACAGAAATTCATTTCTGGGGCAGTCATAAAGGAAGTCCAACTGTGAAATACTTAGTGTATTTCACAAATACTCTTAAGTCTATTGACTTCGGTGGACTTAAAAGGGAGAAACTCTGTTTAGGGTTGCAATCCACTACCTGAGGAGTCTTCTAACTGCTTGTTATGTTTGCTACATGGAAGGATTTCACAGTGACTTACTAAATATTCATTACTACCTGTGGAGTCTTGTAAATGCCCAAAATGTTTGCTACACAAAGAGAGATGTCAGAGTACAGAGCTCCAATGACTGATATTGGTTTGTTCTGAATGCCGTAGTTGGGGGGAAATCTGTTTTGGGTGGCAAGAAGTTCCATTATGGCACGATAGGTCTGTCTTGCATTGAAGTTGCTGTCATAGATGTGGAAGCCCAAAGTGATATTGGGTAAGAGCTGGTGATTTGCATTAATTTCATCCACAGCAAATATGAAGGCTAGGACATGCTGGTAGTTAATAGTCGCAACCCTACAATGAGAATTGTATTCGGCATCAGAGAGATATTTTGCATTTTATAAAATCATTGCTACAATTATGAGAGCATTTTTTTCAGAAGCAGTCATCCCCCCACACAGAATAATACTGTGTTGATAATTTCATTTCCATATATACTTAGAAAAGGAATTAATCTAAAATGTGTATTATGTGCTCACTGATTGTCCAGAAGACATTCGTGGAGATTATGGTAGGAGATAGACAATGTCTGTGTGTCTATATTTATATTTGGTTCAAAACATAGGTCTTCAAAAGTGTGTACACTTCATTTATGTCAGAAACAACTCACTATAGAAGGGATATTTCCCTACCTACCCATTCTGTTCTCATATATAAATTCTCATATATAAATTGGTGGGAATTTGTCCACTCGCAAAAAGTAGTATACCTGAGTGCCCATATGGGTTAAAGTCTCTGAAAGTATTTAAATTGGATTATTGTCATCTGCTGGTTTATGTCTAGATCTGAATTTTAATTTTTACTGTATTATGTTTTAATCTTTTAAATTGTAATATTTATATGCTGTGAGCTGCTAAGAGCCCACTTGCAGGGTAGGGCAGGATATATATCAAAATCAAATAAAAATCGACAGACCAATAGATATATTGAGTTGGATCCAGACAACAGTTTTGCACAGTCAGGCCCAGTTCTTCTCTTTACTACAACCCTGATGCCACATACATTCTTTCTTAATGGAGATTCAAAGACACAACACTATGTACTTTTGGGATAGTCAAAGGAACACCCCCTAATAATAAATACTACTAATAAATAGAGATAAATAAAATTATACCATACACAGTATCATCAGTTAGAAACTCCTGGGGGTACTCCTGGAAGTAATTTGGATTAGGAGCCATTGAAATCTGGGAAGTAATGCCACCTATGATGAGGTCACCTGACTGCAAATACCTATGAAGAATAGGGAAAGGATGACCAACAGTGCATTTCTTCATATGAGCCTGGCTAGCTACACCAGACAGCAGGAGCAGCACTACCATCCGAAGCAGAAATTTTCCCTTGCAGCACAGATTTATACATCTCCACATTCTGTTTAGAGTCTCCAGCATGACACCAGGAGGTATTCTGGAGCCTGCTTTATAAATCCTAATGAATACCTCCTCAAGCATACAGAAAAATGTCTGTCTCTCCTCTGTAGACTCAGATTCAAATGACAAAGTGGGTATTATTTATACTATTCATGACATTCTTGATTCTTTCTTCTGTAAGTGGTTCTTGGGCCTCCACAGAGGCTTTCTCTAGGAGCAGAATTAATTACCATCATTTTGATAATTACAGGGTTGAGGAGGGAAAAGTCTCTTCAGATTATAAATGCTTTGTGAAGTAAATATCTTTGTCATATCCAGCTTCACATCTTCTCCAACTCATTCATATAACATCAAGGGAGAAGAAATTGGCTCCCAGTGTGTGAAACTGCAGTCAAAATTCACCTTTGGTATATCAAAAGATATTTTGGATAGCATGCAATGGAAGAAAGAAATGGTACTTACTTTTCAAAGGACAACACTTCACTAAAACGTTACACTAAAAAGCTTTTGCAATAATACACCGGGGGGGGGGGGTATCTTCCTGATCTTCCCAGGTAGGATGTTCAGCAAGCTGGAAGCCACCAGAAAAGATCTGAGTGAACAGGCAGTTGCCTATCATACCCATTTGCAAGGTGGCATTTTCAAAAGACTTTGTTCAAATGAGCAAAACTGTTAACAGTGGGAAACTTCGTGCATCTCTAATGTAGCTATATGACAATTACGATGAAGAATTATAGTATTTTTTACTACTACTGGTATTCCACTGAAAATATTAATCTAAAATGCATATGAATGTACCTTCTGTGTAAACTGATGAGCTAGTCCTTTCTGGTGGTGGACATGACATTGGGGGCCAGAGGGAAGAAGGGGACTGCTGATTTGAAAATGCCCATATGTTCATATACGAGAGATAAATCCAGAGAGGAAATGAATTGTACCCTATCTCTCTTTCTCCCCCTCATGCTAATATCTAGTGTTGATCATTCCCTGTGGGGGGAATAATAACCCCAGCAAGGTAACTATCAAATAATGGGATGGGCCAAAAACAGCCAGATCCAAATCCAAGCTTCCTTTGTTCTGGTTGGTTTCTGCTTGTTGGAGCTCTTAATTAAGGATCACCTGGGATCATTCTAGCCTTTAAGTTGAAAACCTTTGCTCCCATACATTGAAATGAAGCCACCAGACAATATTTAAGTTAAACTGTTTTATTAATTATAATATCAACAGTGCATTAAATTCACTATCCTCTCCATTGTGTTGTCAACCTTTGGGGCTGTCAGGATTTGGGAAATCTATCTTGGCCATAGGCCATAAGTGCTTTTCCTCATGTGTGCCAGACTTGTGCAGAGAGATGTTGTTCATCAACCCCATCCTTCCACTAAAGCACTGAGCGCTAAGGGAAAGGCTAAGGGCCCTGGGAATGTTTAGTATGGGGAAGAGGAGATAGAGGGGGGTCATGATTGCTGTCTTTAAATATTTGAAAGGCTGTCATTTGGAGGAGGGCAGGGAACTGTTCTAGTTGGCAGCAGAGGATAGGACCTGAAGCAATGGGTTTAAATTATATGCAGAAAGGTATCGGCTGGATATTAGGAAAAACTTTTTCATGGTCAGAGTGGTTCAAAGGTGGAATCAGCTGCCTAGAGAGGTGGTTAGCTCCCCTTCACTGACAGCTTTCAAGAAGAGGCTGGACGAATATTTGTCAGAGATGCTTTAGGTTGGTCCTGCATTGGGCAGGGGGTTGGACTAGATGGTCTATATGGGCCCTTCCAACTCTATGATTCTATGATTAACCATAAGCAGCCCTCCTAACCATCCAGCCATCAGTGGCTGGTTTGAGGGCCTCCCTACATTCTTGGATGGGGGGGGTACTTGCCATTCTTGCTCAGAGAACTTGCCAATCTAAGTAAGCAGCAAGCACCTCACTTGCACATATCCTGCCAAACCCAGTTAGGGCCTCACCAGTGCCTCAGGATCTGGCCTAACTGAATAACCGTAACCCACAACCACAAGTCTAAAGCAGGTGAATATACTGGCCAATCAGATTCTCTCCTCCCCCCCCATCCTGCTTGGCCTTGTAGTGACTGTGTAATCCTTCATTGTTGCCACAGGGAAGGAAGGGTAGGAAGTTTCACAGTAAAAGAGTGCACCAAACAGGGTAAGAATTTCAAGTAAACTTCTTTTCTCAACTCTCTCAGGCTACAGTGCATAATGGAGCCTATCCTCTTTGCCTACCCTTAATATCTGATGCTTCCAGTTCTCTGTGGGGAATGGGTGCAAAATAATCCCTGCCACTGTTGGGGTGGAAACATCTCTCCCTCCCTCCCTCCTTTCCTTTCCTATTGCTGTTCATTCAACCCAGTGGTCTTTAACAGCCAAAACATGCCTCTCAGAATTATTTTATTTGTTTAGTTAATTCCATTTATCACCTGCTCCCCCCAAAACTAGGAATGTGCATTCAACATTTCCAAGTTGAATTAATATCCAAATCATGCCTTTTGGGCATAATTCAGGCATTAGTTAAACGAAATCAATGATCTGATCTATTTCAGTTTACCAATAAGTGAATCCCAAATTAATTCAGAAATCCTGAATTTTCAAGCTCCGTTATACCCTATGGGGCCATTATAGTCAATGGCAAATCTGCTAGGGTATATTTAGTGAGCTGGAGGGAGGGGATTTGTCATAGAGGCACTCAACAAATTTGACGTTAGTCCTGTTGGGTTTTGGCACTGCCAGAGTAGCACTGGTTCTGCTGGGTACATTGCACTGTTCTGCTGCTGACCTTGCAAACATGTCCCCTCCCCACACCTCACTTTCTACTGCAGAGAGTCTCTGGGAGTATCTGCTGGGCTTGTTGTATACCTGCCTTCTTTCCCCCCCACCATTGGAAACAATGAAGATTCTCAGACTTGACCTTAGTCCTGTTGGGTTTTGACACTGGTTCTGCTGGGCACATTGCATTAGTTCTGCTGCTGGCCTTGCAAACATGCCCCTTCCCCACACTTCACTTTCTACTGCAGAGATTATCTGGGAGAATCTGCTGGGCTTGTTATATACCTGCTTCTTTCCCCCCACCACCACTATTGGAAACAATAGTCCAATCTTTTTGAAACTTTTTGGGGGGGTCTTTTTGGGAGAGGCTCCAGCAATTGCACTGCAAATATGGTGCAAACCCCCTCCCCCATCCCACTGAATATACCCTAGGAGATTTGACATTAACTATAATGGGTCCATCTATATATACAAAAGAAAGTCCCCTCACTGTAAAATCAATGCCCAGGCCAAACCACTGGACCTAGAGACACCAAATTCAGGGAGAGCACTCCTACCATAGTGTAGGTGCTTGCTAATAAGGGATTTTTAGAAATCTGACCCCTAAGGGGGTCAAAAGGGGGAAAATGTGCTCCCCCATTGATTCTTATGTGGCTGCCAGGCTACTGCCTCCCTGCACCCCCCACTTTCTGATTGGTCAGCTGCAGAGCTCAGTGTTCTGAGTTTAAAAAGTCAACAGTTACAGGAGTCTGCAGACAGCTAATGGCAGTTGAGGAAATCAGGAATGGCCAACAACCTCCTGTGAGGTGCAGTAATGCTGCTGGCCCAGCCTCTCTGATGACTTCCAACACACTCCCCCCACCTTCTACACCTACCAGGCAGTTGTCTGTCAGGTGCAGCAGTGGTTGCAGGGTGCTTAAAGCCATGAGGGAGCCTGCCCCAGCAGTAATGCCTTAGTGATCCTGCCAGCCCTGCCTCCACAGTGACTTCTAATACTCCTCCCCCTCCTACACTGGGCAGGCAGCTGCTTGTCAGGTTTAGGAGAGGAGGTGGGATGCTTACAGCCACCGGGAAGTTTGCGCAACAGGATTGCCTTTAAATACATGATTCCTTTAAATACAATCACCACCACCACCAGATAGGCCGGTGTCTGTCAGGTGTGGTAGCAGGTGCTGCTGGCCCAGCTTAGCCACACTCACACCCACAATGGAAATATACTCCAAATGTGTAGAAAACTGGTTTCCTTTATTAGGTTATTTAACTTCTCACAATGTGGGTTCTAGAAAACTGGTTCATATGAACTTGCTTAGTATCTGATTGCTCAGATGGTGTTTTGAATATGTAGCTATGTCCCAGTTCTAAAAGGTAACATAAATGAGAAGGATTTCTGTAAAAAAGAAAAAAGGGGGGAGGGGTATGCCTTCCCCCCAAATTCAATGCCCAGGCCAAACCCCTGCACCAAGAGACCCAAAATAAGGGGAGTGCATTCCTACCATGATGTCAACCCCCCATTAAGAGATTTTTGAGAAACATGATGGCCCCTGCTTCTTAAATGACGACTGCTTCTTAAATGGACAGTTCTATGTGGCCTGCTCCAGAGTGAGCTCATCAAGCAGCCTGGTGATCCTACTACCTGAGGGCAGAACCACCAATGTGGCCTAGAGAGAGGTCCTTCAGTACAGAAAAAAGGACATATATCTCACTTCATTTTTTACACTACAATCTTCTCTGTTAGAATTCCTACAACAAATATCACATTTCAAATTTTACATCATCAGTATTAGAACTGGATTTACGGAACTTAAATACCATAGTGAAGCACAGGTATCAGGCTAGTAGGATATAATGGAGATGAAAAACTTTGGATTCCTGAATTTTACCTGATTTCCAGAACAATACCAATCCTGGAATTTGGGTTTTCATGGCAATATTTAAGGGTCAAAAAACTTTGAATCCAAAAAAATACCATTTCCCCCCTTGCACATCCCTACCCGAAACCAGGAATTAATGGATTCCCAAGCCACCATCCTAGCTGGGATTTCTTCACCCCTTATTTCTGGACCTTCAGTCATAAGGTCATCAATAACATTTTGTGAAACTTTGAGGAGCAGAATCCGAAGAGTAAAAAAGAGAGAACTCTTCTCTGCATTTCTTCCCATCAGGGATAGCAAGGATTTTCCCAAAGGGTAAACTCTCAACCTTGAGAGTTGGGCATCGCAGGAAAGTGACTCATATTGTGTGCTGCCTAGCTTCCCCAAAATTATAGAAGCCCCTTCAAAAGTTGCCCTTTTGTATTCCAAACCACTAAACAGTCCCTTAGCTTGGTATGCACTGTCTCTGTAACTTCTGTACTATGGAATGATGTCTCAGAGAAAATCGGGAGGTTTTGTAAGGTGGAGCGTTTTAAACTGTCCTTTTGTTTGGATAAGAAGATATTCTATTTGACCTTTGTGATTTACAGAAATGTCTTCCATTAGAAACAAACTCTTCAAACTCAAGGAAAACTGGAACCAGAAAGTATCAATGTCAGTTTCATTAAGTAATGCTACATCTAATTCCTACTAGTCTTTTTTAGGAGGGCCTAATAGCATTTTAAAGATGCTAGAGTTGTTAGAAGCTCTCAAAGCGATGCATGCACATGAATTGCATTTCTTAAAATATTATCTCCTTATTAGCTGTTCTCGGTTGTTCAGCTGTGGCCTCAACACAATAATGTAACATTTTGGGAAAAAGATGCAGCCTAGCAGCCCAGCACTAGAAGCTATAATAGAGAAGATCTCCACAGCTACCACAAATTTTCCTTTAGTGCTCATGTAGGTTGGGAAAAAACACAGCCAAACACTGCAGAATACCAACATGCTGAAAGTGATGACTTTAGCTTCATTGAAACTGTTTGGCAACTTCCTAGCAAGGAAAGCCACAGTAAAGCTAGCAATGGCCAAGATGCCCATGTAGCCCAAGACAATGTAGAAGAAGGTATGTGACCCTTCTTTACATTGTAGTACAATTTCTTCATTCACTGAATTCATATCAACACCTGGGAATGGTGGAGAGGTTCCAAGCCACACAGCACAGATACCTACTTGAACAAGAGAGCAACAAAGAACAATTAAATGGGCCAGTCTTTTCCCCACCCATTTCCTTATCTGGCTTCCTGGCTTGGTGGCCATGAAAGCCAGAATCACCATGATTGTTTTTGCCAATATACAAGACACAGCCACTGAGAAGACAATTCCAAAACCAATTTGCCGGAACAGGCATATCACCTTCCCAGGTGGGCCGATGAACAGGAAAGTGCACAGGAAACAGAGTAGGATGGATAGGAGAAGAAAGTAGGTCAGGTTTTGATTGTTGGCTTTTATAATGGGTGTGTTATGGTTCTTCATACATGTTGCCAGAACCAATGCTGTTAACAAAGAGAAGGAAATTGCCAAAATGACTAAAGTGATCCCTAGTGGTTCTCCATAAGACAAGAAGCTCTTAATCTTGGGGATGCATACATCCTGCTGTTTATTCGGATATTGATCTTCTGGACATTTAGAACATTCATCCATGTCTGGAAACAAAAAAGATGTAGTCTCATTTTTTCTAAGAATTCTGTGACTGTTCTTCTCACACAGAACGTTGTCCAATCATATGAGGAGAAAATGATGGTGAATGTAATATTTTTAGACAGTTGTTCATACATTGTCTTAATAATCCAGTTAGGTGTTTTGGTTGAGAAAAGAGAGGTTGAGCATCTGACTTCTGAATTTGGCTCTGTATGCCACTGACCTTCACTGTGATGAGTATCTGGTTTTATCTAGTATGTTCCTTATGATAATACCATAATTAGGTACCTCTTACCTTTCTGGTTAGAAATCTTTCCTTTTTGGCATTTGATGCATTTATAACAGCAAAATGGAGTTTCTTCCTGCTTTTGCCTTCTATAACCAGGGAGGCAGCTATTAGTACACACAGAAAGGGGTGAAGCCTGGACCAAAAATAGAAAAAAAACCAAGTAAAATAGAGTCATTTATTAAAAATATTTGGAAAATCAGTATTGCATTGTTGGATTTAAGCTTGGGTAAATGTACTATTGGATGTTTTTGTTTGTTTTATAAAGAAAGAGGGAGACCATAATGTTCAGTCCTTTAAACCTTCTACCTCATTTATATTTCATGGGGAGCAATGCCATGGGCTGATTTCAACCAGCTTTTCTACTGATGCAAATGGGAGGGAAAAGTCATGGATCTGCTTGGATTAGTAACCATGTGTGATGGGTGACTTCCTGTCAGTACGGCGCAGTGACGGGCAGTTTCTTGGTCGCTCCGCCCAACCCTATTATACTCTTTTTGAAGCCCCCCGGAGGTTGGGTGGACTTTGCTGGAACTCCCGGAGAGAGGTCTAGTTGCAGGGGGCTCTGTGGCAGCCCCTCCAGCATTCAGCAAGCGGGGGAGTGTCCGCTACCACCCTGAAGCAGGAGCGTTTTACGGAGGAACTTGACACCATGTTCCAGCAGCTGCGACCATCCATTTTTTAACTTCTTGGGATTTAAAATTTATACACTTTAATTGATGCATCACAACCAAGGATCTGACTTCATGAAGTCGAATGATTTTGGATTTTGACACCCCCAGCAGATATAGGTGTGAATGGCTGTGAAATGATTGGAGAACAAAATCTATTTAAAATGGTGGGGGTAAGAAAGGATTCCTATTCTGTTTGAACTGCTACTGTTCACTATGTATAAAATTTGAGGAATATATGAGATATAACAAGGTAAAATCTTTTGTAAAATGACAACGGAGAACTGGAACTGGAACATTGTTTAAAAGTCCATGGTAAAATGGAGTTGGAAATAGGTGAAGAAGAGATAGACCCTGATACATTAATTAGTACCCTCACCTGGGAACAATTTCAAAATTTTCTGGTGAGAGAAATTACACAAGCAGTCAAAAATGCTTGTAATAACCTTGTAGAGAGTTATCAAAAAGTAAACCAAGATGAGAATAAAAGCTGAGAGCAAGCTCAATGTACTCAAAGACTTGCTGAGGAACAAGACTGCTCCTGGGAGAAGACGAGAGAAGTGCCTGACAAACAACTGGTATTTGTGGAAAATGAAAACCAAGGAAAGGACATTGATGTGAGTTGTTTCTCAAAAGAAATAACAAATTTGGCATTGGAAAAGGAAACAACAAAATGGTTACCAGTGGAAAAGAGTAAAAAGGCAAAAGAGGAGGAAAGAGCCTGGTGAAGAAACTTAAGGCTAAAGAAAGGATAATGACTGGCTTTATGAACTATGAAATAACAGACTTGGAAATGGAATTGCATGAATATAAAAATTCAAGACACCAAAATGAAATTGAAAGGAAAAAGGAGGATATGGAAAGGGGGGGGGAAGATGAGACAAAAACTATGTTTGGTTCAAAATAGTTTTTATCTTTGGATATATATAGTTCAGGAAAAAAACACATGAAAAGATGGAAAAGTGGTAAGGGTGTATTTGTGTGGTATCTGTGTATTCTTTCATTAATTTACTCCTTTTATTAATTTACTCTTGAAGTATGAATATGAACAGTTGAGAGTAAGAATGGTGGCGTGTTCTATTTTTATTTTATATTCTTACTAGGAAGAATGCCCGTTGTGGAACTGAAGACAATGGGGCGCTAGCCTGGCCATGGGTGTGGGTCACCGTCTCCATCTGCCCTCCCACGGCGAAGCTGGCCATCCTGCCCCGCCCGCTCGAGGCTCCAGCGAGCCAAGGCACCTGGCCTCCCCCTCCCCCCAGCACCCCCGCCCACTCGAGGCACCGGCAGGGGAAGCCGGCCAGGCTCGCCCCTCTCCCCACAATGGGCACAAGCCCAGCTGGGCACAGGGCGCCGTTCACTTCCCACCTACCCCAACTCGGGGAAGCAGCCTGCATTCCCCCTCACAGGGTTGAGGCCCCGGTGGGTCAAGGCACCTTGGTTGGCCACTCCCGCCATGACCCCCAGCTGAGCGAGGCCCCAGCAGGGCAAGCGGACCAGGCCCGTCCATCTCCCTGCAGTGGGCGGCAGCTCAGTCGGCCGGCTGTGGGCCCACGTCTCCTTCCTCTGCCCCCTCTCCTCTGCCCTCCTGCTGCACAGTCGAGGCTCCGGGAGGAAGATGCCTGGCCTCGCCAGCCCCCCCGCTTGATCGAGGCACCGGTGGGGGAAGCCGGCTAGAGTCACCCCTCTCCCTGCAATGGGCACAAGCTGGGCGCAGGGCACCATCCAGTTCCCAGTCTTTCCAACCCAGGGAAGCAGCCCGCACTCCCACCCATGGGGTCGAGGTCCCAGCGGGTCAAGGTCCTTGGGTTGGCAGTTTGGCCAGCTGGCTGCAGAGGAAAATCAGTATTGCATTGTTGGATTTAAGCTTGGGTAAATGTACTATTGGATGTACATCTGTACTACAGGCGGACAGCTGTGGGCCCACGTCTCCTTTCTCTGCCCCCTCTCCTCTGCCCTCCTGCTGCACAGTCGAGGCTCCGGGAGGAAGATGCCTGGCCTCGCCAGCCCCCTCACTTGATCGAGGCACCGGTGGGGGAAGCCGGCTAGAGTCACCCCTCTCCCTGCAATGGGCACAAGCCGGGCCTTGGCCCCTCTCCCTGCAATGGGCAACCCAGGGAAGCAGCCCGCACTCCCACCCATGGGGTCGAGGTCCCAGCGGGTCAAGGTCCTTGGGTTGGCAGTTTGGCCAGCTGGCTGCAGACCCGCATCTCCTTCCCCGGACCCCTCTCCTCTGCCCTCCCTCCATGCGCTCGAGGCCCCAGCGGGCCAATCTGCCTGGCCTCGTCCATCCCCGCCACAGGGCAACAGGACAGGCTGGGCCTGGCTCCCTGGCCGGCCTCAGGCATGGTGGCATGGTGCCATCTCCCCTCATCCGCAGACCACATGGGGGAGGTGCAAGGGAACGGGCCACCCCCGGTGCCTTTCCAGGAGGCTGGGCAGAGCCAGCGCATGTCGGCCTTGGCCTCCTCTTGGCTGGTGGCAGCTCCTGGCTGCCATGGCTCAGCAGCAGTGGCATGGCCCCATCTGGGGCCTACAGTCTGAGTGAGGGTGTCTGGCCAGTGGAGCACCTGGCCTGGGCCATGGCTCAAAGGAAACTGAGGGCAAAAGGGTGGTCACTTCCTCCGTGGGCGGGAGGACACGCACACAGGCAGCAGCACAGCGAATGGAGAGAGACGCCCTGTGAGTGACACACCAGGGCGCCAACCAATTCCAGAGCATGTGGAATGTTTTAGAGAAGTGCCACCACCATTTGGCTTTTATTTATAAGGGAGATTGGTATTAGTTATTATAGGTGAGGGAGAGATTATAAAACGAGGCTTGGGTTGATAAAGGTTGTGCTGGTTTTTGTTGTTGTTGTTTTGTATGGTTAGTAGGTTGGTTTGAAGGTTGGTAAAAATGGTTTCTGATTAAATGGTTGAGATAATTAGGTCTTTGAATAATTTTCTTTCCCCCCACACAATAGTGTAATATTAATTAAAAGATAGTGTAAATAAAAATATAAGAAGGATGTAAATCTTTGGAAATTTAGAATGAATTTTTATTTAGTAATAGAAAATGGTGATAATTATGATGACCTAATGTGATTTTTTTGCCTATAAACCTTGTTTAAAGATAGGCAAGAATGTTTGTATAGATACATGGGTAGAGCTAACTAAATGCCCAATTAAAGCAAGAATTAATAATGAATGTAGGATTAAAAGATAAAACATCATGGTACACTAATTTGCTCTCTTTTTATGTTTATTGCCTAGTAATGGGTGATTGTTTGTTATATGAAACCCTGATGTATGAATATGGATGGACTTGAGAGTAAGAAAAGTGGTGTGCTCTGTATTATATTCAGATTTGTATTAGTTAATGTAGAATGTAGGATTAAAAAATAAAATATTATGGTATATGGAAGGCATAGATACAAAACCTTGTTAGAGACTTTGGTCTTTTGAAACAGAATAAACCTAAAATGTTGTTTTGATTGCAGTTTAAATAGGAAATAAAATATAAATTGCTTATGGAAATAGAATGATCTCAATAGTGTGAAGACTGTACAGTAGTAACAGTTTTGCATACTACAAGAGTTGTAATTTCGGCTTACTATAAATAATGGGGTTAAGGAAATCTATAAGGTCTTGTATAATGGGATATAAAATAAAGGATAGGAAAAGGAAATATAAGACTGTATTAAATGTACAATTAATTTCAATTTAATCTGTAATTAACACAGAAATTTCGAACTGATGGTTGTGACGTGTTTAAATGTTTAAATATTAACATGTCCTTTTTGTGAATGTTTGTCTGAAAATTAATAAACAAATTATTTTTAAAAAAGTAACCATGTGTGATGGGAACTATAATAAGGAATTGGATGGCATTTAGGGACTTGAACTTTTCAACAAGCCTTTCATTGGGCCCTTATTTGTTTTTAACTGCCTTTCTAATAAATACATTACAAGTTTAAACTAGGTTTTTAATCTTGGCGGCCCTTTATTAGACTTCTTTCTTACCCTTGTGGTTCTTGACTCCAGTTTTTGGGTCAAGTTTCTTATACCCTCCCTGTGTCTTTCTGTCCCCAATTGTCCAGAAGAGTTGGCAACCCTAGTGAAGTTGAGTGAAAAAATTGGCTGGATCCAGTCCAGTTTCTGCAATCACTGTTGATGCTTCATTTCAGAATTCTTACAACTTTTCCTGTGTTAAAGAAACCCAACTTATATATTAATAATTATAATATTTTTTGTCACTCTTGTTTGAACTCTTTTCAGCCTCTTCACGTCATTGTCAATGTATGGTAGCAAGGCATGTATCAGAGTACTTCTGTCAATCTTTACCAGGCTTTACAAATCTTTACCTTTAGTGATGATTTGCAAAATTCTGCAGAGCTCTCTGTACCTTTGTTATTCTTGGCCAATGATACCTCTTCCACTTATCTCTGTTAAAGTACAGAATATTTCTGTCCCCTTGTTCAGATATTAATAAATCTCCCCTGGTTTCCAAAAGCGCTGCAGATTTTTCCATTTATACAGAAATTGAGAATCAAGAAGTTACTATTTTCAAGGGTATATTCAATGAAATTCTCTTCCTACTTCAGGAATGAGACTCAGTATTCTAACAAAAGTGGAACCCTTCCATAATTACAGTCAGAACCTACCTGGTTAAAATCAGTGTGCCATGTGATTTTATCAACATGCATAGTTAACAGGTTGTCAGAAGGAGCCTGGGGATCCAGTCTTCCCACTTTCACTCTCTGAAAGGATTGGTTGGGGTAAATTACCCAGTTTATAATGTCAAATCCAGCTATCAGTTCCCCATTTTGGCTAAAAGAAATTTCATCTCCAGCAGTGTTGTTAAATGAGACTCTTTCCAGAAAGTTATGGAGCTAGATTGAAAAATGTACCAGCAGAAATGACAACATGAAATAAATGAAAACCATACAAAACTGCTATATTCTGAGTAAGAATATTGGCATTTTTAAACATTTCATTTTATAAACTGCAAGCATCACAACAATTCAAACAACTTTTTTGCAACTTTACTATACATGATAAAATTAAAAATACTATAATAAATGCACACATAAATAGATAAAGGTATATAGATATAGATATTTGTCAAGTATGAGGAGATCTGTGGATATCTAAAACACAGATCAGGCCCACACTGGGGGAAAGGAGATTTTCCTCCAAATAATGTAAGGTGCTTTGGGCCCCACTGTGAAGAAAGTTAGGGTATAAATTAAATAGATAGATAGATAAATATAACTGAAGATGGGAGACAGATAAAATGTAGGTTGGTGAATGGCTGAGGAGAGAATGGGGCAGGGGAAAAGGAGAGTATACAGTGGTTGCTAGAATTTGGAAAGAGGAAATAGTGTGGGCTAAGGATACAGGAGAAAGTGTGGTGCACCCAAAAAGAACTTGAGGGTTTCCTACCATGCAAGTGGATCTGGCCCAGTGTCTGGGACCACACAACTGATCCATAGTTTTCCTAGGTAGAGGATTTTGGGGAGGGAAAGCTGAAGACAGAGGAAAAGGTAAATGTACAATGGTTGTTGTGTGGGAAGGAGAGAAGAAAGCAGGAAAAGGGGAGAGGCTACGTGGTCTTTCAGGAAAGGGAAAATTAAATACTGGGGGAGGGGGTAATGGGATCCTGCAAGTCCTTCTGGGTTCTCAGTTGTTCATATATCTAATTCTCAATCTAAATCTATGGATGTTTAAAACCAAAGTTTGGACCCTTGAATTCACAAGAAAAATCTGACATCTGAAAAACAAATGCATTGGGGACTAAGCCCCCCCCCCCAAAAGAAACAGCACCTGTAGCTTTCAGAGACACATGCCATCAGTAAGAATAGGAGGGGCTGCCAAGAAGAAGGAAAGAAGAAATAACAGGGGGAAAATGATACAGGGAAAATGTATGTATCCCCCCAAAGTCCCTGCAGGTTCCATACCATGCAGGTGGGCCTACGTTTTCACAAGGGAGAGACTCCCAGTTTATATTGCTGTGAACAAACACAAGTAATCTTGGAACTGCTAGGGGGAAGACCTAACACCAAATTAGGGGCAAAATAATTATCTATTCACATTATTTGGAACCCATTATTGAATGTAATTTTGAATTATGGTGCTACTGTAAAAAACTCTTGAGAGTCCCCTCGGCTGCAAGGAGTTCAAATCAGTCAATCCTAAAAGAAATCAACCCTGACTGTTCCCTGGAAGGCCAGATACTGAAGCTGAAATGCTTTGGCCACCAAAGGAGAAGGGAGTACTCACTGGAGAAAACCCTGATGCTGGGAAAGATTGAAGGTCAAAGAAGAAGGGGACGGCAAAGGATGAGATGGTTAGACAGTGTTATCAAGGCAACAAACATGAAATTAAGCCAACACTGGAGAACGACGGAAGACAGGAGGGCCTGGCGTGATGTGGTCCATGGGGTTGCAAAGAGTCAGACTCAGCTGTGTGACTGAACAACAACAATTGAATGTAAAGTTATGATGCTGTCACATGTTTAACTGAAATGCAATTACCTGCCAGGGTTGCTTGTCCTGAAGTTTCCATTTCCTTCCATTCATTACGGGTTTAGGGTTGAGTATGCCTAATTGCATGGCATCTAAAGCATGGGCCACAGCATAAACAGCATTATAGATGTTGTAGCTGTGGCCAACCAGACTCATTTCAAAAAAAGACCCAGGAAGACTTTCTAACGTCTCATCCCCAGAGCAGTTTTTCTCAGTGTTCTCACCAACAGTAAACTCTGGAAATATGCAGTCAAATGCTTGTTGCCAGAAATACCTAATAAAACCATCTTCTTCAATCAAGGCATGGTTTCTCATACAAAGAAAACGCTGGAATCCAGGTAGCTCATCTGAGTGAATAGTGAAGGCCAGAGCTCCATGGATGACTTGGATATCCCAATTCATTTGAAAAGGTAGTCCTGTCAACTCCATCTGGACTGTCATAATCCATACTTTACCTTTCAGCTCCAGTGACACCACTTCCAGTTCTAGTAGATGGAGCAACCATCTGAACATTATAATATTTTCATCATAGACAATGACTACATTGGCATTGCTGTTCATGCACACTCTGTACGTTCTCACCAATCTATCAAGCACTTCAGAAAGCTCATTAACATACACTGTCCTGATTCTTTCTGAGAAAGCCAAACAGATGCCATTCAAAGAAAATGTTTCAAACATAGTCTGCACAAACCTATCCCCATTCTCGTCATCTTTAGCAACGGCCCCAACCCAAGTCCACCTGAAATGCAAAAGGAGCTCGAGAATCCCCGTATACTCATAGCCTTCATTTGGGACCATCTGGTAGAAGGAATGGGTTTTCTTTTTATTGTTCATCACTGAAACAGAGCCATAAGTGAACTATTGAAAAATAAAGAAGGTGAAAGATGGATTGGGATGGGAGGCAGAGACAAAGAATGAAATGTGAACATGTACAGTTAAGTGACTCTTGCAAGATATCTCCTTAATAAGCTAAATAGGTGTCTTTAGGGAATATATATTTAATAGAAGGATTAAAATGTTTAATTTGCTGGAAGTTCAATAGATTGAGAGGAGAACAGTTATAGGAAATATGCTTAAGGGTATTTGACATGTACACTTTGAATACTGTACACTGCAACAAAACAAATCCTCAGCATTGTTAAACAATGTTTCATAGACCAGTGACACCTTAAAAATCAACAACATTGTTCAGAGTATATCCTTTTGTGAGTCAAAGCCTAGTTTGTCAAACAGAAATGAAAATGAAGATCCATCAGCCTTTATATCCAGATCAGAAGGCAGGAGTCATGTTACAAAGAAGGGCTATGTGGAATCTGGATGCAGAAGTACAAAGCAAAACCTATCCAGCTTGATTAGAGCTAGGGGATATGCACAGAGATATTTAACAAACTAATCAGGATAATTTGATCACAAGTCCATGATGTAATCTAAAATGTTCCCTTCTCTATTTATATAGCATAAAGTCCAACCTGAATAAAGAAAAGAAGTGTGAATAGCAGTAAATTCCCATGCAACTTACCTGTGGAACTTTGTAGATGCTCAGCATATGTGATATGAGGAAGGAAGGTTCCGAATAAAGAGCCCCAATGACTGATATGAGATTATTCTGAAAATTGCACTTGTAGTTAGGTGAAAATTTCTTCTGTGTTGAGAGAAGTTCCATTGTGGCATGATAGGTTGTCATTGCACTGTAGTAGTTTTCACAGATGTGGAATCCCAAGGTGACATTAGGTAAGATCAGATGGTTTTCATTGATCTCCTTCACAGCAAACACCAAGGCCAAAACATGCTGGTAGTTCTTAGCCAGTATGCTATAATAATTTTTGTATGCTGCATCAGATTGAAATTTTGTAATAAAATAATTGCCATTGGGCTGCTTTCTACTATAAACCATTTTAGAAGATTATAAGTGAGAGACTTGCAAGGAATTGCTGCGGCCAACTCATTTCCTCTAATATCCTTTTCCTTAGTATTTCCACTTTTCCTTCTCTGGTGACCCTCATAGCCTCCCCCCTTCTCTTGCTCCTCCTCTCCTTCCCACCCACCCACCTAGTTGTGTGGTGACCACCTTTGATGGGCTGAGTTGTATGTTGGCTGCCAGTGCACAACCAAGTCGAGTTGTGTGGAGGCCACTGGTGCCATGCCACTGGTGCCATGCCCAGTTGTGTAGTGGGTGCCACTGGAAGGCTGGGTCCAATTGTATATGGCTGCCTCTAGTGAGACATTCTCAGTTGCATTGTGACCACTGAGCCAGGTCCAGCTGGTGGAGTGGGCCCAGCTTGCAAGGTGACCATGCTGAGTTCTTCCTAACGTTTAGCCAAAAAGCTCTTCTGATTTAATTTTAACCTGTTGGTTCTGGTCCACCTTTCTGGGGCAACAGAAAACAACTCTGTACCATCCTCTATATGCCAGCCCTTCAACTACTTGAAGATGGTTATCATATCACCTATCAGTTGTCTCCTCTCCAGGCTAAACATACCCAGCTCCTTCAACCTTTCCTCATAGGACTTGGTCTCCAGACCCCTCACCATCTTTGTGTCCCTCCTCCGGACACATTCCAGCTTGTCTATATCCTTCTTAAATCGTGGTGCCCCAAACTGAACACAATACTCTAGGTGAGGTCTAACCAGAGCAAAGTGATACCATAACTTCACAGGATCTGGACACTGTACTTCTGTTGATACAGCCCAAAATGACATTTCCCTTTTTAGCTACCTTTTAGCTACCACATCACACTGCTGAATCATGTTCTAAGACCCGTAGATCCTTTCTCAATACTACTGCCAAGACAAGCCTCCCCCATCCTATAATTATGCCTTTGATTTTTCCTGTCTAAATGCAGAACTTTACATTTATCCCCACTGAAATTCATTTTATTTGTTTTAGCCCAGTTTTCCAGCCTGTCAAGATCATCCTGTATCCTGACTCTGTCTTCTACTGTATTTGTTAGACCTCCCAATTTAGTATCATCTGCAAATTTAATAAACATTCCCTCTATTTCTTCATCCAAATCATTTATAATGATGTTGAACAAAACAGTTCCCAGGACAGCTCCTTGAGGCCCTCCACTTGTCACCCCTCTCCAAGAGGATGAGTAACCATTCACAAGCACTCTTTGGGTGTGATCTGTCAACCAGTTACAGATCCACCTAACAGTCATAAGATCCAAACCACATTTTACCAATTTGCCAACAAGAATATTATGTGGAACCTTATCAAAAGCCTTACTGAAATCAAGATAAGCTACGTCTACAGCATTCCCCTGATCCTGCAAGGCAGTAACTTTCTCAAAAAAAAAGAGAGAGATAAAGTTAGTCTGACATGACTTGTTCCTGAGAAACCCATGCTGGCTCTTAGTAATCACAGCCATCCTTTCAAAATGCTCAAGAACTATCTGTTTGATTATTTGTTCTAACACATTCCCAGGTATTGACGGGTTGGTAGTTACCGGATCCTCCTTTTTCCCCTTCTTGAAGATGGGGACAACCTTTGCCCACCTCCAATCTTCTGGCACCTCACCTTTTCTCCAAGAATTCTCAAAAATAATGGACAGAGGCTCAGAAATTACATCCACAAGTTCATTTAGTACCCTTGGATGCAGTTCATCTGGCCCCGAGGACTTAGTTTCATTTAACTGAAACTATCCCTAGCAAGTCCTCCTCTGTCAGAAAACACTAGGAGAGGGGAATGGAACATTTTTCAGGGTTCTTTGGGTCTATAAGTTCACCATTACATTACAGAAACCAACATGTGGAAAGCTCAGCAATATTGTTGTGGCCATCTCGCAAACTCCAATGTGGCCACTGAGAGCTCAGTGGGAATTCTTTTCTTAAAACTATAAATTATGTTTCTAATATTTTGGGAAGTTTTAATCCCCTGGATTAGATTTCAGATTCTTCTGTATGCCTGGGGTTTCTTTCAGCTTTGTAGAGACCCCCACATCTGTCTGCAGCTCAATTTTGTGGATCTATTGATCATATCTTCTTTATGGAATATGGCAATAGCAGTAGCAACCTTAGTAGGTGCTTTCTAAAGCTTAGGAGACCTGGTCCATATAGAAACTGAATAAAGATTGCCTGTTAAGAAATTGCAATGAGACTTCCTGTAGTGGCTTTTTGTTCCTGAGGAAGGACCAGAAGTCTGAAACACTGAACAATACCTAGGAAAAGTGTTGATAACTATTCCAGACTTCACTGTTTCCCTTTGAGAAATTTCTATTCTGGACTTTGTTCTTTCCCTTTGGGATATTGTGGACTTTTGTATTTTCCTATGATGGATTACATGTGTTGAATTACCTTTGTGTTGAAGTCTCTTTTTGTTAACTTTGGTGTGGGTTTGTGCAGTACACAGTTGTTATTTGCTGGTTTTTTGGCCATTGTTTACTGTGGACTGTAAGAGAGGGCAGTGACAATTTGTCTTTGCCTGCCTCCGTGTAGCAACACTGGACTTCCTTGACAGTCTCCCATCTAAGTACTAACCAGTCCAGCCCTACTTAGCCTCCAAGTTCTGAAAAGATTGTCAGATCTTGAGATCAAGCTAGCCTAAACATATAGGCTACCTAAGCATTATTACAAGAAGTAGAACACTTCTTACCTGATGTCACCAAATAATACCTGATGAGGATGTTCATGGAACTTATTCT